GTCTTTTTGTGTATGTTTGTGTATGTGTGTGTGTATTTTTGTGAATGTTTGTGTATGTGTGTGTGTATGTGTGTGTATGTGTGTGTGTTTGTGGGTGTATGTTTGTGTATGTGTGTGTATATTTGTGTGTATGTGCTTTTGTGTTGTATATCCATTTTTGCTTTTTTTGTTTGTTTGTTTGTGTCTGTGTGTTTACATGTATGTATGTTTGTAATGTGTGCTTGCCTGCATGTTTGTGGGTATGTGTGTGATGTGTTTGTTATGCGTTTTTGCATGTTATGCAAATGCAGAAACGGATATTTGCAAGAGGCTGTGTGTGTGTTTGTGTGTGTGTGTGCGTGTGTGTGTGTGTATGTGTATGTTCACATTTTTTGTCATCCACTTTGAACTTCGAGAATCAGAAAAACTAGAAAGCTGAAACTTTCGAAGTACATGCTCAGCCATGTGCGATCTCCCGCTTTAATATTGTCCTTATCCCGGTCTATGTGTTTTTGCATGTGCTTGTTTTTGCGTTTACTCACATGCATGCGTTTGTGTGTGTGTTTGCGTGTCTGCCTGTCTGTCCGTCTGTTTGCCAACAGTTCAGTTTTGTAAGTAACAAAGATGAAAGTCCGCGCGGACAGGAAGTTGACTTTTGATATTCGAAAAGTGCTTTGGTGGAATTGGGAACAATAATTAAATTTCAGTTATTAAATTTGGGTCGAGAAGCAAAAAGTGCCATGTTTAAGCATAGGGGAACCCAGGGCGGTCTTCCGGGGAGGGGGGAGAGGGCGATTTTGAACCCCACTTTTTTCCTTCGTCACTACACTCCCCCCTTCCTTCGTACAACTTTCATCCTCCCCCGTCGATCGTCTCACTACACCCCCCTCGAAGAGTTCTGAGAGGAGGTAGGGGCGACAGGAGGTTTCAAGTAGACTTTTCTACAGTAAAGTAACCTAAACTCCCCCCTTCCCCTCCTGGATCCGCCAATACTGTTTAAGGTAGTGGGCGCCATTCTATTCGTCTGGCATTCCATCGTT